AAAAGAATAACACTTTACTACATTGTTTTAAAAGAAGTTTGTCCTAACATGAAACGTTGCGATATTTGTACAATACACTTTTAATTATTCACGTCACTGTCTACCTTGTACAATACGTATTACTAATCGCTCTCGTCACTGTATGAGTATTTTCTTATAGCAGAGCCACATCGGGTTATCTGCTGTGTCCACCGAGGGGAATCGAACTCCTGATCTTAGAATTGTAAACCTAAAAACTTACCACTGTCCCACCGGGGGACCACGTCGTCACTCTATACCTTGTACAATACATATTACTAATCGTTTCACGTCACTGTCTACCTCTTACAATACGTTGTACTAAGTATTCATACCACTGTCTGCTTTGTATAGTACATATTACTAATATTTGACGATACTATCTGCCTTGTACGAGACGTATTATTTGTAGATTACTTATATTAGTAGAATGTGGAGTCGTTTCAAAATGAACGTATACTTGCTCATACACCTGGATAAAGCAAACCATCATCCACAATACAAGCAGGCGACAATTATGTGTTAAATAGTCGTGACCGGCTTGAATTTTCCTTATTCTATCATTTTCATGCACGCCATTTAAGCTATGCTTTCTTGCAAGCATTATGTGTTAGATCGGTAAATCATGTTATATTTGAAAACATTTTAAGGGTCAGACAAACAAACTCAAGTAGACGTAATTTTATTTAATAAAACTACACGTACGTAACTTTATTTAATAAAACTACACGTACGTAACTTTATTTAATAAAACTACACGTAAAGTAAACAATAAAGTATAGTAATGGTATTTATAATAGTGTATAGAGTATGAAAGAGTTATGAGTGTTCAGTATGTGACACTGTTTTACAAGTTGAAACATAGAAAATCACGAAAAACGAAGAATAAAGCAGTAGTAAAGAAAAAAAGGTGTTTATAGCAGTCTGTAAAACGAACAGAAGCTAAATTATTGAAAAGTAAAGTAAATAAAAGGTGTAAGGAAGGCAAACTTAGCTGCATATGCAGAAACGTCTGAATATGAGTTCACAAAGTGATAAGCGTATGGTTCTGAACGAACTGCGCATGCTTATTTTATACCTAACCAAGTCGAGAAAGCCCATAGAAATTGTATTTAGTGTAATGTTCCTTTTTTAAAAAATTAAACGTGGGTTAAGTGCTGAGTGTGTGAAATACTTTGCAAATAAGAAAATTTTTTGAAATCGAAGCCAGTCTTCACGTGATGACAACGACCTTGTGTCACCATGTACCATAGTTGTTGCACTGAAAAGCTTGACTAGGCAAAAAAAAGTAAGGTGATTCTGAATTGAAAATTTCACCCGAAATCTTGTGCAAAAGTATTTCTAACGATATGAGATTTGTAGCGTTTGATTGAGAAATTTGCAAGAAAAGATCCGGACAGACAAAGGCAAGTGTATTATTGATATAGCTTCTGGTTCCCAGCAAATGTATCTGTCTCACAGCTGTATCACACGTTTGCAGCCAATTGATAAACGACGTGTAAATAAATATTATTTTTAGAAATTAGTTGCTCCTCACTCTTGTAGTTATATAACAGACATATGCTCAATTGGAAGTATATGTCTGTTATATAGCTGTTGAGTATATGTCTGTTATATAGCTGTCCAATTGAGTATATGTCTGTTATATAGCTGTCCAATTTCCAAAGTATATGTCTGTTATATAGCTGGTTGAGTATATGTCTGTTATATAGCTGTCCAATTGAGTATATGTCTGTTATATAGCTGTCCAATTTTTGGACAGCTATATAACAGATATATACTCAATTGGACAGCTATATAACAGACATATACTCCATTGGACAGCTATATAACAGACATGTACTCAATTGGACAGCTATATAACAGACATGTACTCAATTGGACAGCTATATAACAGATATATACTCAAAATTGGACAGCTATATAACAGACAAATACTCAATTGGACAGCTATATAACAGACATGTACTCAATTGGACAGCTATATAACAGACATATACTCAATTGGACAGCTATATAACAGACATATACTTAATTGGACAGCTATATAACAGACATATACTTAATTGGACAGCTATATAACAGACATATACTTAATTGGACAGCTATATAACAGACATATACTTAATTGGACAGCTATATAACAGACATATACTCAATTGGCGAAATTTTGGCACTTGTGTATAAAGTTAAAATCATAAATAATATTCAACGTTAAACCGGTACACAATTTAAAACATATTATTTAGGCCTATCTTTGGCCTTCAAGAAGTTGAC